TTACTTTTATTTTGGCCACTCTGATTTTAGTTTTTGAATTCACCCGCTATCTAATTTTCACATTTTCACATTTAATTTTTTTACGAGCTTTGGGAATATTTAGAAATGTACCAGCAGGGTGTCCACCGAAACCACGAGAAAAAAAGTTTGGGAACCTCTGCCTTAAACAGACTTAAATAAAAAGTAGTGCCTCTGGAATTAAAAACAAAATATGAATACATTACCTCTAACGCGAGTACGGTACACAATTCCATTTATCTTTCATATCTCTCTAAATTTGCTTGTAATTTCTTTTTGCAGACTATAGTCCATTTAATTCTTAATAATAAGTTCCTTTGAGAACTATCCCAAAAATTTTGATAAATCAGCATTGCATATAACAATTTGATTGAAAACGGTACATAAAATACTAACTATAATTACATCCGTATATTCGAACACGTGAACTCTTTTCCGTAAGCTTCAACATGCAAATGGTAATGTAATTTGAATTTTTACACATGAAGTTTTACTTCGAGTGTAAAGTAAAATCAAGTGGCAAATCTAATTTAATTGATTTTTTTTGCCATACATGTTTTCATGAAAACTTGTTTATCAATAAATCACACAATAATAAAATACGAATTATTACTTTAGTATTTTTATTATTTTTCGTGACTCTTCGTACATTTAGAAAACCTACATGCGGCTCTTATTAGGCTCATGCTAGGCATCCTTGCCTTAAATAGCTTTCCGCTTGTCTTTTTGATTAAACTCGCTTTTATTTTCTACCCCACGACAACGCTTCTGTACAAAGCACGTGTTTATTTATTTTCAAAACCTTTTAATTATATACATACAATACATATGTATGTAAGTATTAATTTTAATATCACAAAATCTATTATCCTTGCCACTACTATCCGCAATGACGTTTTAATTCCAACGATTACTCTGTTTTGACTAACACATGCTCTCCGAAAAATCAAAACTTTTAATCTCCTTAATTTTCTAAATAGTTTAAAGCATTAAGTCATCATTTTGTGACCATATTTCATGCTACTACAGCTAAAAGCTAGTCGAAGTTATAATTTATCTTCT